CACAGTTTTGGTTGTTTCTTCACAGCTCTTACAGTTTTTGTACACAGTAAGTGCAGGCTAAAGACCCGTACAAGACACTGCTTCTCTTAGTTTCTCGTGACTCCAACCTGCCCGCAGACTACGAGCTGCACATATGATGCACGGAATTCTCGTTTCCTAAGGAGTATGCGAGTGCATAAACCCTCTGTGTCTCCTTGCATGCAGTGGTGGGAGCTGCACTTCGGCGTGTTCTACACTGCCACGGGCATTATTGGCGTGACGGAAGCCCAGCTTACGGTAGGGAGGCTGTTGAGTTCATGGACGTGAATCTCCTCCAGTAGTGAACAATCAAAAAGTGTGCATCTGTGGGATTGCCCAACGGGGTCCCGGAGCACCGCTACCATGTTTGAGGCTTCGGGCGCCTGAAGAGCTGCGGAGGGATATTATAAATGGCGAGTATGAGTACACTGGGCAGTTCAGTGTGTTGCACGTGCGATTTTTTTTGTGCCACACAACAGGTCATCTTCCTGTCTGTCCTCGGCGGAACCTTTGGCCCTGAGATTTATCATGCAGATCTTCTCCAGTTTCTCCCGGCTGCAATTGGGTGCGTTGCAGCAATTTAATGCGGTCGCAAATCCAGGAGGTTAATCTCTGTGCTGCTTGTACACTCCAGCTGCCAGCTGTACACCAGCTGTACTCCCCCTTGCAAGTGCTTGCATGTATAGCATACAGTTGCTGCGACAACAGTTACAGCAGAGAGCCTGGGGCCCACGTCTTGTTGATTCAAAGATGTCTAATCCTGCCCATACGTGCACTGCTGCGTGGGACGAGTACTTGCCAGTCGATCTGCGGAGGCCATGCATGCAGGATACCGCTGGCGAAACTCGCAGGAGCAGCTGGATTGAGTGTTACGGCGAGCGTCGTATTTCAGCTGATGTTGATAGCTTGGTGAGTAGGGTATTCACTGCTTCCTCGTAGCTCGCCGCAGTGCATGCAGGGGCAGCTTCAGACATTTTTCATACGAGACGCAGGGCCTGATTTCCCCCAATTGCGTTGTCGCAGCAACTCCATGCTCTGCATTCTGAACATTGTTATGGGAATAAGGCGGGCACCACAGCCGTTGGTGGCCCTCGCGCAGGTGGTCGTGTTCTTGGTGTACATCTTCGTGCAGGGAGTTGTATACATGCATTGTAAGGCACTCGTTAATTTCGAGGACAGTGTTCATACGCTAATCTGATGTAAATTTTACGCTGTATGTAATGCACAAAGTACATTTAGTGGTCGTGCATTCGTTTCCGCTCCAGTCATTCGTCGGGCACCGCATGCGGGAGTTAGAGAAGGCTGTTCGGTGATGTCTCGCAGGCTTAGTGTGGCGGCCCGTCTTAAGCCCGTACCTCGTATACACAGCAATTTGCTCGACGTACTCCATACTGCTGCTGCGTCTTTGCTTGTCGGCGACGTGCCGCTTTCCTTACAAGTTTGTTCAGTGGCCGATGCTGCCGCTGGTTGCTGCTGCCGCCGCACTTTGGCTTGGTAACCTGACAGCTAGTCAGGAGTTCTGGGCTATCGCCGTGAGTCAAAGAACCAGTAGTGCGGTCCTGCTTTTGCTCCCTGCTTTGGTGTGTTGCATGCTGGTGGGTAAAGCCTTCCAGTGACTGAGTACTGTCTGGTGCTCTGCCTTCAGGCTGTTTGCGTCTTCAACTGTATCTACCTGGTAGACTTCGCATGCACAGCGGTGTCTGACGTATGTAACGGGCTGAACATAACTTGCTTCACGGTTCCCAAACCAGGAACTTCTACCCAGGCCCCCTCAAAAGCCTCTAGAGAACGGAGGAAGGCCGACTGAAAACTAGGGAAACGATATTTTCTTCGGCGCTAAATACTTTTTTCGAAGTGGAACACCATGTCCCCCCACCGTAGCTTAGCGAAATGACGTACGGGTTCAGCGCCTTTCGAACGTAGGACATGTCAGTAGTATGCAACACTTCACCCCACAAAACTAAACCCTTTGGTGAGATGGCAAACGGCAGTAAGCCAGACCGCACGATTGGGATTACATCAATTACATCACTGTGTTCGGCCTCCAACTTAACCGGCACTTCGATGGATCAGTCCAGCAACTCCTAAGGCAACCTAAACTGAAAATGCCGGACAACCGTTGAACGCAGGAGAGATGACACGCAGCAACAAGTCGAAAAGCGAAACACACGCCCACCAACACCAAAACAAAATAGATAGTTAACCCCAAGGGGTCGGATGGATGCGCCGACCCCGCCGATCGGTGTAAGGGCAGGACAACGCTTGAGGAAGGTCCGAGCAAGCTCGTTCCCCTATCCTCTCCAAACAAAAATTGTTGTGACATGTTTGGATCCAGTTGGATCCATATCAGTTGTCACACTGATAAGAACAGATACTACACTTGATCATAGCCAAAAGGCCGAGAAGGTATGACATGCATGCTCCCGCTGGGCCCCACCCTGGGGTGCCGTGGACAGCGAATAAGCCTCGTTTCTGGCATTCCAGGAAAAAGTCCTAGATTGCTCGCCTTTTTGGGGTGCAATTAATGGTTTTTTCCCTTTGATATATCTATTTAGTTCATCTTTGTCTTCCTTACAGCTAGTATCGAGCAGAGGTCACAGTTCTCTTTAGGTCCCCACGGATGCGACGAAATGTAAAATCACAGCTCTGCTGGCTTGAAGCGTTCCTTTTGATCTCTTCCACTAAGCAAGTCGCAATTTCTGGAAAGTTAGGCGTTAATTAGGTCTAAAATGGAAATTCTTCAAGGTAATAAATGTTTCAGGAGTTTGCTACCGCGGTGCTAGTCCTTGCTCCAGTGGGCGGAAAGTATGTACGTCTCTGCAACCTACTCTTGTACGAACGCGGTTGATTAGAACATTCAATTTAGACTTATATCATGAAAAGTTTGCCTATTATTCGCTATAGTAGGAAGTGCAATGGGCGAGTGCTGGCGCGTCGCGGCAGCGTTTGTGGACCCTTGAGCCGACGTGCTCTGCCGCCAAGCGGCCAAACCTACGCAGGCTACACCTTGTGAATACTAGAGAGACGCATTTATTCCCTCTTTGTGCTCATTGGAACTAATATTAGAAGCACACATCAGTCTCGCCCACATGCCCTAATAAGGAGAGGGGCACTTCAAGACGTAAGTGTTGCTGTGCTGATGAATTTCGAAGGCATAGCTGACAAGCCTTTAATGACGGAACGGGTACAGATCTTATAGGCGGGACGTCCTTCAGTAGCCCCACACTTAGTACGTACAAAATATAGGGCTCTCCTGCTCGTACACGTTCGTACCGTCATCTTATAACGACTTCCGTGTTGTAGCATAGGTGGGAACTTCGGCGACCGGGAAATGCCACTACCCTTAGTGTCCTGTTACTTATTCCGTCAAGTTGATGCGCATGCTCTGCATGTGTTTTTGTCTTATGGCTGACTTCGGGCTACTGAACAACGCGGAAGAGACAATCCGGTGGGGCGGCACATCTGTGAAACAATAGCGCCGATCTCCTAAGGCCAGCTCAATGAGAACATAACTCTCATGCTGACCGAAAGGAGAAAAGCTCGTTTTATTTTGATTTTCAGTACGAATACAAACTGTGAAAGCATTGCCAGTCGATCCTGTAGGTCTGAGAACCTTTCGGCTAGGGGTGTCAGAAAAAGTTATCGTAGGGATAACTGGTTTGTTGCACCCAGTCCATAGCGACATTGCATTTTGACCCTTCGATATCGGCTCTTCCTACCACAAAGTCGTAGTAGTCTCAAAGTGTCGGATTGTTCCCCCGCCAATAGGGAACGTGAGCTGGCTTGAGACCGTCGTGAGACAGGCTAGTCTTACCCTACAGCGGCAACAATCCAACTTAGTACGAGAGGAACAGTTGACTTAGGTACTTCGTTAATGCGGCTAGCTGAGAAGCTAGTGCCGCGACTCTGCCATATGTTGGATTATGACTGAACGTCTCTAAGTCAGAATCACTGCAGGCTAAGGAGTGTTTCTCATCGTCTCATTTGTCACTTGCATCTCCACTTCGTACCTCACACGCAACATCTCAGCAAAGAACTCTGCGTCATGCGCCGGGCGACAATTGAAATTTCCCACAGTTGGCCTTGTCCGATGCAAACGATTTCGGCACAAACCGGTATTGTAAGTGCGAGAGTAGGCTTGTCATACGATCCACTAACATTCACCCTGCGCTGTACGGTGTATTTCCCTTGCTGTTCACGCTTGCGGGGACAAATAAGCAGCATGTCTCCAACCGGTGCTTGAAATAACTACGTAACCGTACGTGGAAGACACTTCGGTCTTCCATCTACCGATCGAATGACTACGCTTCACACCCAAACAAGCCTACACACAAAAGTGTTCAAAGCAGGCATCGACCGTCGCAAGCTTGTAAATGGATGAAGGGCTTCGATTGTATACATTATGCATGTTTGGACAGGCACTGTTGGAGAACCTCTAGGGTACCATGCAGGCACGATTGAATTGAGCTCTATTATGTTTGCTGGGCAGAAGGAATTCCAGTTAGCGGTACATGCAAAAGTTTTTCGACGTACATGGATTATCGCTAGCCATCGCGCTATTTCAATAATTCAATGCAGTGATGCCTTGCGTTCCCTCAATGTATTTGCCGTGCTTAAGAGGAAACCAAGCAATGCATCCTTCTCTAACAGCAAACATATGGAATACCAAAGTGAATAGCGAGCAGGCATAACGGATGATGAGGCATATGGCAAGAAACCTTGAGAAAACCTGGCAGGGATTCTATCCCTTCATTGGACTTCTTATGCTTGCTGAACGTTTGGAACCGCAGTGCATTGCCCTAGCTTTGGCAGCCGTTGTGTGGAGCTGAGCGTTTTTCTATTGCTTTGCAGGCATGTACAACACCCAAACCAAGCGAGATCCGTTTGTCTCAGCCGCAAAAGCACATGAGTGCCCAATGCAAGGTGTGCAACCCGCAAGCCCGATGCAAAAGGGATAATGAGGAGCGATTGGCTAACGCAAAATGCTCGCTCAACCTAGCGAATGCCCAGTAAAAAGCCGAATTAATCCACTAATAACAGGCACTTCTGCACAGCCATTAACAGCTTTAGAAAGGGGTTGCATCGTAATCGTCGGGCATGGTCTCGCACAACATGACCGTGTGTAAGCTGCCTGCTGCTATTGCCGCTGCTGCCAAGATTGCCTTTTTATCCTATGTCCCTGCTGCTATGAAAGCATTCTACGGATGCTTCAGAGAGAAACCATTAGTTACATACAAAGAGGATACAGCTGATTTGCCGGTGCCGGCTTTCGAGGCTGTTTGCACTTGTCGCCGCTTCACCAGCGATTCCTGCTGGCACAAGTATCGTTGCTCCTGGAACGAAGACTCTCCGCACCTTTGCAGTGGACACGGCAATACTTGACGCAAACAAGCAAGCACTACCCAGAATCACTGCAGCAACTGCAACAGCACTAGCAGCGGCAGAACCTTAGCCCAAGGTAGCACCACTAGAGAAAGTTGACACTCAGTAAAACGCCAGCCGATAAAAGCACAGTTCAATTAAAAATATGGGCCAGCACCAAACAAGCGCACTTGAAAAGCGATAGAACGAAGCAAAATAGTACATGCATGTGTGGCCGTTTGGGCTGCCACTCCCGCCAGTTGTTGCATCAAGCTACAGTATTATGTTGCCTCTTGTGGAGAGCATACAAAAAGAATAAAATGCATAGTTTATCAGCTAACTGCTTTAGACGAAGATGCTGTTCAAGCGGATGAAGCAATTGGCGCTGGTGTGAATGCATGCATGCGCCTAGCCCCAAAACATCGGTGAGTGCGGGGCCTATTCGAAAGGGTCCCCTTGTGCCGGCTTCTACATGCAGTTGAAAACAGGAACTTGAGTTGTTGCCGCATCTCTGGTGATCGGGGATCACTTTGCGGGGTAATTTTGGAGAAATTTAAAGGAAGGAACGCCACAAGCCCGCTTCCACGGTAAGCGGCACCCCGGCGTGGGGGGCCCTGTGGGGGAGTGTTGTAGGGGGCGCGTTTCCCACATTGGCTTTTTTTGTAGTTTATTTGATTAGAGTATAACTAAGACAAGCTTTCTGAGGTCTGTGCACCTAAGAAGGTCGCAGCGCAGCCGCGCAGTGCTTCCGCCTGTTCAGAGGTGCTACTCATGTGCCGTTTCTGAAGGAGTGTCTGTGCCTCCGAAGTTGCGTTTGTGTAAGATTAATACTGGGGAACAGTGTACGGGTAATAATCAGATGTTCTTTGTGACACTCTGTCTGTGCTTCTCGTGTGTTGCGCTGCAGATGGCTCCCGTTTCCACCGTAAAGCGCACCATCGTCAAGAAGCGCACAAAGCGCTTTAACCGTTTCCAATCGGACAGATATAAACGCCTCAGTGTACGTTCTGTCCCTGATGCATTCCTTGTGTGCGCCTGTATTACGCCTTCGCATGTACTGCCCTTGCATAAAGATAGAGTCGGGATTCACGAAGCGAACATTTCTCGATGTATTTTGTCTACATATATGTATATGCATGCGTATGCATATTTTTAGCTGCTGCTTGACTGATTGTGCACAGCCATCATGGAGAAAGCCCAAGGGTATTGATTGCCGCGTGCGCCGCAAGTTCAAGGGCACGAACCTCATGCCCAACATCGGCTACGGGTCGAACAAGAAAACTCGCCACATGCTGAGGAACGGCTTCTACAAGTTCCGCGTCGAAAGACCCCAGGACATTGACATGCTGTTGATGCACAACACGAAGTTCGCAGCAGAAATTGCATCCGGCGTTTCCTCTAGGAAAAGAAGAGAAATCATTGAGAGGGCAGAGCAGCTCAATGTCCTCGTCCTCAACAAGTCCGCAAGGCTTAACACAGCTGAGTACGAATGAGCGCGCAGCTGGGCGGCTGGGCTGTGGCCTCAGTTGAGAAAAAGTTTCATCCACTCCCCAAATCACCGCCTGGCGGCTCGATGGGGGCAGTTGAGACATTTTTTCCAGCCCTTTGGGTTAAGTTATGACAGTTGGATTTGGAATCACCCATGTGGTGGTTCATTTGCAAGAGTATAGACAGCAGCTGTACTTGCAGTCTCCCGTCTCTCCTTATTAGACCTTAGACCTGGCACTTCGCTTTCGAAAATTTGTTGGACAAACGCATAGTTATAGGTTAGGTTGCCCAACAGCCTTACAGAGGCAAGCGAGCGGCGTGTGGTTCGTTTCTCAGTGTGCAAGAAGCGGTAGTACACATTTGCAGGGGAGTGCTCGTGAGGCCAGTTTCGGCCAATTCAGCACCTTACGCAGTTGAGTATCCTGAGTTACTGTGCAAGCGTAGTTGCAGGCAGCGCCGCGCTTTTTTACAACTTTCTAACGGAAAAGTGCATCCAGAGGCCTTGTTTCTTGTATTTGCGAACTCGTTTATATGCTCCTACGGTGACACTCTGCAGTTTTTCTGTTTTGAGTTTCGGAATGTAGGCGGCCAGAATGTCGCTACACCTGAAGATTTCCATTGTCCTTTGGAGCGATTTGGAAGGGTTTCATAGGGCTTGAGCGGAAGGAGCCGCGTTTCGTGCTGAGTTTTCCAATAAAAAGATGTTTTGTAACATCATCATAATTGCCTTCGGGTTTTCGTTTGTGGGCGTGCTCGGAAATGATGGGTGGTGCAAGGCATCACCGCATGCGGGCCTTCCCGATTATGCGCGTTGTCTTCCCGCTGAGCAAGCCATGGCTCGATATGTGGTTGAGGTGGCGCCTCTTGTTGGATTTGGTTTGGAAACAAAGTGCGACAGATTCACATATGCAAGCGTTTGAGCTTTAAGTGTATTGCTGATGCCTAGAAGCGACGTGAGACTCATTTTGGAGGGGTCGAATGGCCGTCGTACGAAGCCGATTTCTATAGCCTCTGTTAGTGGCGGAACAAGCAAGCGGTGAGGAGTGTTCTTTCTTTTCTGTACTTCATTTTCCCCTTTACTTTGGCGATTTGGGGCAGACTCACGGCAGATCGCGTTGATGTCAGCAACCCCGAAGTTATTCATGCTTACATCAGCAGTCCGACTGCGTGGGCGTGCCGACAAATAACTGTATGGAAAGACTTTCGCTATTGGATCTTCGATTGTGGAGAGGTTCTTTCGCCTCTGTCTCCCGAAGGAGTGAGAAACCTGCTAGTCAGTACCATAAAGAACACAAGTTAACAGAGGAATGCAGTCTTTTGCACTGTCGGGAAGCAAAGTGTACGAGCTGGCTGTTCTAACGGGGACAGACCCAAAAGGCAAGTTGCCAGTTTCACGGTTATTACACCTCCACAAATGCGATGCGAATAATCATAGGTAGCCTGCACCCGCGAGCGCGAATTTCACTAGTTGGGTCGGTGCGCACCTCTGGGCCGAAGGTATTAGAGGGCAGCTTTCCCCCGGGGAGCAGCCGAGCGATCCGCTTGCAAGCTGCGGACGGTGAGACGCGTCAGTTTCGTTCATACGTACTTTGGTCAAGCCCTTTATTGCTCCTCCCTACAGTCGGCTCCCTGCAAGCAGTGGTCCTCACCAACGATGCTGCTGCCTCGCCTTGGTTCTGCAAACACGTGACAGTCCGTTCGGACGGCAGCACGGCCAACTTCAAGGTCGGAAGGTGGATTGGAACCCCGCATCCTTCGTCGGTTTATGTTTCGCTATACCCGTCTGGGTTGGAGTTGACGCCTCAAGATATCGACTGCCACACGCGAGCTGCAGACGTGTTTGAAGGGTATTTACACACATGCAGCTACCAACCAGATGATGATCCAACACGGAAATAAAATTTTTGCGTCTTCAGAAAGCCAGGTCTCGCGAACGCAGCAAAGGTTCACTGCCCCATGAACTGCCAAGCGTCCGAATTTGCCCATACGCAAGGGGCTTCGCTGCATCCGGCGCCTTCATCAATATGCACAGCCGCCATCCTGGATGGTCTGATGAGTCCCTCAGGTGGCGACCTGGTGGTGACCGCTGTAGGGCCAGTGGAGCAGTATGCGGGCGCTGCGTACAATGGTGCGTTGAAGTATGTTCTACTTATGCGCGGCATCGTGTGCAACGGCGGCAAACCGCGCTGGCAGGCATTGAGTCAGTGGACTTCGCCTACTCCCCCGAAAGGCAACAATTCAGCTTCCACATGTACCTCGTCGGTGGGCCAAATGCTGAGCAACGGCTTCGCTGGGCAGCTGAGATCCTGTGTTTCCCTCAGATTCTGTAGACCTCATCGAGGCGTCTATTCGCGTCATCAACGGTGGGCGGTTCTGCCCATACGAAATAAATCATCTCGAGAAAATTCGCATTGAAAAAACAGAGTTTGGAAACCTTTCGTCTATTGGTCGGCTTGAGGTGAAGAATGGCGCGGTTTGGGGGAGCGTATGGTGCGGACGTTTTTCTTCCTTGAACAACCTATGAAAAAGGCACAACTGGTTTATCCTTTTAGCAACAAAGGCGACTACTTGACGTTTTCACCTCAGTCAGCATTAAAAGCTTGCCAAGAACTCGGTAATTGCAGCAATTCTCCCTCAGGTTCAGTTGCGCGTCACTCCCTCTCATTCTGAATGCCGTCTCAGGCTTCAAAACGGGCACGCTTCTGCTGGATGGGTGCAAAGACGTGGAAGGAGCCAACGTGTGCGCAGAGAAGGGATACCCGGTGGCGAGCGCGGGTTAGTTCAGATGTTTTCAATGCGATTGATTCACTTTTGCACGCTTCACACCTTGCAACTTGTTCAGGCATTAGTGTAAGAACGTTCTCTACTTTCGCGCTGTGCACTGACCCAACATACCACCTGATCGTCTTTTAGTGCAGCGGAAATGAGGCCTCTCTGGCTGAGTGCGGAGCTGAGAAGCCTCCAGCCATGTGCCTCGAACACAACGACGATGTAGCCATCAAATGCACCAACATGGTAGCTGGGATAGAGCCTGAAACCGGCACCATCCGCCTCGTGGGTCCCACCGGAACGCCGGCTCCGTCCGGCCTTGGCCGACTGCAATTCTACAACAAAGGTGCGTGTGCTCCCAAGCCTATCGGGAAGAGTTCATTATCTTCTTTAAACCACTCAGTATCTTGATAAGTTGATACTCTTATTTACCCATTCAATATCTTGATGATCTATTTTCTTCTTTAATCACTCAATATCTCGATGCAGGTTTCGGCAGCGTGTGCTCAGATGGGTGGAGTATTAAGTCCGAGCAAGTGGCATGCCGTCAGATGGGCTACAACAATGTGAAGGTGAATGCAAGACGCATTGCTGAAAATACAGCACCTGCGCATCACTACCGCACTGCTCAGGATAAAGGTCCTGGCAACGAAAGCTGCTCCAGTATAATGGGGCAGAATTACTGTGGACCCGAGCAGGAGAAGATTGCTGCCGTCAACTTCATGTGCACAGGTGCGCCGGTTGCTGCTTTCTAATCTCCAGAAGGACTTAGGCTAATTGCCAATGTTCAGGCAGAGAGGCTTCTCTTAATCAGTGCCCTCACGCTGTAGGCGATGATATTTACTGCGTGCATGCGGAAGACGTGGTGATTGCATGCGAGGGCGATGGTGACCCATCTGGCGTTGGGGCCTTTCACAAAGAGGAGGCGCTTGTTCAGAAGAAGCGGTTCCTCTCTTTGATTCACCTCACCTGCTTCGACAGCCTCGAAACGGCACAAGGCTTAGGCGGCCCGCCTGGCACGATGCATTTGGTTGCCTGTCCTCCGAACTGCAGGCAAGTCAAAAGCAGTTGTTGCATGCAGCAGCAGCGGAGTCGCTAAAGTCACTCCCCACAGCTCTGCCGGAGGAGAACTGAAAGGGGCCTATATCTACACTGGAAGCTCCGCAGTAGGCCGAATTCCCTCTTCCCCCCCTCTCTCATGCAGAAAACAGAATGCACACAACAGGTATGCCGCGCTGCCATCCACAGCGGGACGATCACCCAAGAAGGCGGCGAATTCCTGGTGGTCGTTGGACACAGGCAGCACCACTTTTTAGCTCTTGAGAGCCACGGCATACACAGTGAAGAAAGCGGTGCATACCCAAGATCATGTGAGTAGTCGTAGATGAACTGTGGTGCATGCAGCGGGTTCATAGGAACACAAAAACTTATCACTGGAATGTAACATCGACGCCCATCAGTCACTACTGCGAAACTGGACCACTCCGTTCACAACCTGGTCGTCTCAACTCGCAGCCATGCGATGCTGCAGTCGACAGCAACCGCTGCCCCGCCTCTAACAGGGAGCGCAACTCTCCAGGCACAGCCTTCTCCTCTCCAGTCTGCTGCTGCTGCTGCTGCTGCTGCTGCCACTGGCGCTGCTATTCAGCAAGGCGCGAAATCTTCCTCGGCCGCTGCACCACCTACGACAGCGGAAAACTCCGTTGTGGCCAACACGGCTCAACGAAATGCAGCAGCACAGGGCCCTGCTGCCGCCCCGTCAAAACCCACTGTAGTACTAAGCTCGAGCGGTGGCGTCACCCTGCAAGCACAACGCAGGAAAAGGCGGGGCGCCATCAGTGTAAGAAGGCCAAATGCTGCGTTGCACAGAGATAGCGCAGATGGTGCTGGCGCTGCCGACGGAACACAACCCCAGCTGCCCTTTCCTTTAGCAAGTCAAGGCAGCGGCTCGCCAGCAACGGCGGATGACAGTAGGAGGCTTCTCGCGAGTGAGTTGTTTGGCACACATTTTACTGCCTAAATGCCTTTCCAAACAGCAGCAGCAGCAGCAGCCGAAGCGCCGTCGCTACAAGCATCTTCAAGGACACCCTACACCCGCATGATGCGAATTCGTACTACACCCGCGTCCCAACCAGAAGACATTTTTCACTGGTTTCCACCTGAAGGATTTAATGGTGCTGCAAACGAACTGCTGCGCACAACAACAAGCAGATAAACGTAGTAATAGCAGTGATAGTGGTGGCTTCAACAAAAGCAGTGCTTATGAAAATGAGCTTCATAAACATCTCAGGGTTTCATGGGAAGCCATCGGATTTTGTGGACACCTCCAGTTTGGCTGCCGGAAGTCTAGCGTCATCGATAAGGGACTTCACCGTCGTAGTTCGCGCAATAGTCACAGGTGGGGCGTCAGCTGCGGCGGCAACCAACATACACTCACCTCGAGAGCCACTCTTTGTCTATCTGTTTGTCTGTACAGGAGGGGAAGGGCAGTGGAGAACGCTGCTCGCCCACAGCGACTGCGACGGTTTTTCCCTGGTGGTGGACCCGAACGACGAGCTGATCTTTGAACAGACTTGCCATCCCCACCAAATCAAGTTCGGATTCAAACCCAAGTTGGGAGGTAAACTGCAGAGGAACATCAATTATCTCACAAGTTCTTAAACATATGCGTGTACTAACCCCCAACTCCAAAACCTTAAACCCTATGAAATGCAGAAAAATTCGACGCCGCCGCCGCATTTTCCACTGCAACTCGTTTCATTCAACTCTTCGTAAATGGCCAGCCAGTGGCGACTGAGAAGGCGGATTTCGACATGAATTTGAGAGTGAGCCGCCGAGACAGCTGATCGCCTTTATACCCAAATGCCACCATGTGCCACTGCAGGGCCGCATGACCATTGGGAGGGCAAGCGCAGCAGAAGCGGATTACTTTGAAGGGGACATTTTAGGAGTTAAACTCTTCAGCCAGGAAGTCCCAGCAACGACAATACAGAATGCCTTTTCTGCGGAGACGCTTGCTGCCCATATTCCTCAGGCGCCGAGCGAAAGCAGGCGTACAGAGGACGGGCGACTGTGTCTTTCTCCCTGTTCTTTGCAGGGACCTCGATGGGCAGCAGCAGCAGCAGCTGCTGCTGCTGCCAGGGTTACGAAACCTGCAGTGCTTTTATCTTGCACGGACAGCTTGCGTCGTGTGGAGTTTAATGGGCGCATCGGCCAGACGTTCCTCGCCGTCTGTCCTCCTGACTGTCTGCACGCCAAAGCGCTCCTCGAAGGCTGTAAATTCTTCACCGCCAGAAGTTCCATTTGCAAGGCCTCCCTACATACGGGCGCTATGCCCAAGGAGGGAGGAGAGGTGTTGCTGACTGTCGCTGAAGGCCGTACCTTCTACGATGCCTCCCAGGGCCACTTCGGTACGCATGTATTCGATTCACGCATGCAGCAGATACATCATTTCTGCTGCTCCCTCCAGGCATTCGCAGCACGCAAAGCACAGGACCGGAGCTGCGGTCCTTCTCCGTTGAGGCGGCACCTCCCTTCAGGGTTCTCTCGTGCGACACAAATGCAACATTTGCTTTAAAACTGGGAGTGGGAGAACGCGAACTCGTCGTGTGCCCCGCGGGCTGTTTGGCACGCAGCAACGCTCGTGTGTACGGAAGCGGTGAGTTTAGATATTTCCATCCCCCTGAAGCACTAGAAATTAGCTGCTTTAAATGCCTCTACTATAGGGTTCTATAGTCTTCTCTCTTCTGTTTGTCGCGCGGCAATACACGCTGGAGCACTGGTAAGCTGGCAGTACTGCAAGCAGTAGTGTCAATGCAATACATAAATAAATACATGTCAATACATATTTATTGCTACGCTGTGCTGCGACCAGAAGGACGTCGGGGGCGAAGTTGAGATCATTGCATCAAGAGGCCGCCAGCGTTTCTCCGGCAGTGCAGTTAATGGAATTGCATCCGAGACGAGCGGGGAATACATTCGCTCCTTCGTGTTTGTCACGCCGTCTTCTGCAAGCAGCAGCGCTGAGGGTGTGGAGGCCATCTCGAGATCGACCGCAGGAAGCCAGCGGCAGCTGTCTTGAGTGCAACGTCGTTGTCGTCGTCATAATACGATTCCTAGTTGCATGCAGTAGATCGCACAGCTGTCCTCTCCGCTTCGTTTCTACCTACGGCTCCTAGGCCCTACTTCGGCAACTATATAAAGAAACATATAGCACACAGTCTAGTAAAATATACAACAGACAATATAATAAAATGCACAACACGAGGACCTCAAGCCCTGTTGGAAACCCCCATGGCGCAACAGAAAACTGAAAAAGACTTGCAGGGCAGAAACCCTCTTAGGTCCAAGGGAATAATCCCCCCCAAATTTATTCATACGCAAACAGCCACTAAAATGCGAGAGAAGTTCATCAATATTTCGTTGTTTTCGTTTAATGGCAATAGTAACGAAGCGGAGCGGTTAGCAAAGTCCCCTAGAGATAACAACGGGGGAACATATGGAGAGCAGATCGCTGGCTTTGCTTCTAAAGCCAACGGAAAACTGTTCAAGACAAGTATTTGTCCTTCATTTCGTCGTAGTGATGTCTGTTCCAGCCATCGCGGTACAGGTGCTCTGTCTGCAGAGAAGAGCAAAAAACAAAAAAAAAGACCCGCCGAACAGTCTACTGCGCGCCACCTTAATTAATCAATAGCATTAATTAAACTTTAATTAATTGTTATGTACTCAAGGGAAATTCAGATAGCTCATCAAAGCAACTCAAAAACACGCAACCGACAGCACAAACGGACGCACGTGCAAAAGCGCAGCGGCAAAATGCCGCAACTGCATGCGACTTTTGTCGCCTTCACTTCCGTTGCTCTTTAAAATGACAAGAGAAAGTTGGTGTGCGTTTGCAATACATCAAGCTGCCGCTGCCTCCCTAACGCGCTTTACAGCGCGTGCCCTGCCTATGAAGGCAGTGGGTCCTGACCTCTTTGTAGTATTTGCGTAGCTCCATGGTAGTTTGTATGCAGGGGAAGAGAACCATGAAGGCGCCGGCGCCGACAAGAATAGGGGTAAAGCTGAACGGCTTGCCTGGGGGTGGGTTGACGGCCTCGTTGACTATGACGGTTTGGTATTGCGTAGGCCGCGGGTTTGCGTTGAAGAGCCTCCCTCCGTCTGTACTGAAGAAACGCGCGGTGCTATCAAAATTGTTCTTCAGCTGCCGGCCAACGACGCCGACAACGGATACATTCCGTGCATTACGAGAATGCATGCGGGAGAGAAGAAGGGGAAAAGAGTTCATTTTCTCCTATTCCAGAGTAGCTGAAGCCATCGACATTACAAATAAACACTTTCTAAAGCACTTAATGTGTATTTCAGCCGAAGTTTCGCGTTCTTTTTCACCTCTACACCATCCGTGGGTTCCGTGCCTGTAGGGGCCTGCCGCTGTTATCGCCGCCGAAGTCTTGTAAAAGAGTAGCGCCGATATATTAATTCCTTTTCTTCTGCATTGTTTTTATATTCCCTTCCCACATAGTGTCTTTCTAGACGTTCTTGAGCCCCCAATTTTCACGGTTTTACAGACAAACACAAACAGCAACCCCCTTCGTTCGGTCCTTGGACTACATAGACAAGGCGTGACATTTCCAGTGAATCTGCCCCTTTCATTGATTTTGGTACTTCAACGACTCGGCCTCTCTTTGCTGGAGTGTGTGTGTGTGCGTTTGTTCTGTCTGCATGCGCTTCCACTGCGCGCATTATCTCATTTCAATTTGTTGATCTGTAGCCGTTGTTTTGCGGGGCCCTGAACCCATTCAATGAAGCGCCCAACTAATGCCTCATCATGAGCACCTCCAAGGCCAAGACGGATCCCCGCTTTCTGGGGGTTCCGATGCGTTGGGTGGCGCTGCTGGCGTTGGTTGGGCAGACGGTGGCTGGGGTGAGCGTCTTGCGTTTATCTCGTTCTGGCAAGTGGTCTGGAGACGTGCCTTACCTCACGACAACAGCAGTGGTTTCAGCAGAAGTGGTGAAGCTGTTGACGTCTCTACCGCTGCTGTGGTTTGAACAAAACTGCAGCTTTCGCCAGACGGCCGCTGCGGTGTATCGAGGCATTATCGCGAATCCTATAGAGATGGCGAAAGCCGGCGTTCCAGGGCTTCTATACGCTGTGCAGAACAACTTAATTTTTATTTCTCTTTCGAATCTGTCTGGCGCGATGTACCAAGTGACATATCAGCTGAAAATACTGACAACTGCTCTGCTGTCGGTGCTCATTCTGGGGCGTCGTCTGTCCCTCCTTAAGTGGTCTGCTCTCATTCTACTCTTTTTAGGAGTCAGTTTAATTCAGTACCCCACAGCATCAGAGGCCCCCAAGGCCCTTGCGGCGGGGGGAAGGCCGCAGAATGCGTTTGTTGGGTTGGTTGCGGTGTTGTGCGCATCTCTGACGAGCGGCTTAGCTGGGGTGTATCTTGAGAAGCTGCTGAAGGAGAAGACAACAACTATCTGGATTAATAACATGCAACTGGCAGTCTATGGAGTTGTTGCGGGGCTTATAGGTGCCTTCTGGAATGACGGAGATGCAATATACGAAAAGGGATTCTTTCAAGGATACACCGGAATGACGATTGCAGCAATTCTGCTGCAAGCGTTGGGGGGGCTGGTGGTTGCTGCTGTGCTCAAGTACGCAGATAATATACTAAAATGTTTCGGAAATGCCCTTTCCATTGTTTTTTCGTGCATTGTTTCGTGGACAGTTGCAGGCGACTTCCTCCCTTCGCTGCTGTTCTGCTGCGGCACAGCTTTCGTTCTCCTCGCTACTTATCTCTACATCGTTGAGAACCCGCCGCTTTCCTTCTTTAGAATATTAAAAAGTAGACCGACGTATGTCGCACCAGGAAGAGAAGTGGATACTGCAATCGCAGTAGCGGATTCAAATGCCGTTCAGAGAAAAAACGATGCAGCAAAGGGCCCTCCTCCCTAGTTTGCTGCAGCACAACTTTGCTACTGCAGCAGCGACTGCCGCTGCTTCTGCTGCTGCTGCAGGGCAACTCGTAGCAGCTGCTGCACAGACAGAAACCACCTGCTCGGGGGGCCTTCAGTGGGCTTTCATTGGGCGTTCAGTGATGCCGCGGAAACAATTCTGTTTTTGCTATAAGGTGAATTGCGTCGAAAGAGAAGCCAGCGAACGCGAGTTGCAACTAGAAGGGGAGAAGAAGGACCTTTGTTGCCCTGTCCCTGCGCTGCTGCTGCTGCTGCTGTACATGCATGCATGCATGCATGCATATAGATTAGCGTGCATCTGCAACACGACCTGCTGTATTCAAGAATATACGACAAGTCCGCTACAATGCGCTAAGGACGTAGTGAATGCTTTAATGAAGGCAGGAGGCAAGACCAAGAAATGAATTCAACAGACAGCCGACGTGCCTTCAGCAGCAGAAGATCGGCTTGGATGTAACAACAAGAGACTACGGCATGAAAATCACAGAGTTGCAGCTGCAACCACGTTTTAATTGAAATTCAACAGAGTTTAACATGAAGGCTTACCCCCCTAAACTCAACGCAGAATAATGCAACTTCTGCAACAACGAGCGGCTGTTGCTGCTGTGGCTGCTGTTGCTGTTCACTGAACACCTCAATGCGGTAGAAGAAAGAAATTGCCATTCGATTGTGCTGTCTGCTCATCTGATGGTCTTCAATCAATTGCTATTTCATATGGACTATCACTTCTATCAAGATTTCGGCTTCTGTTTCCGCTGCTCCGAAGACGAATCGAGGAGTCGAGTCAATAGACCTGAAAATCCCGAACCTGAAAGAAGCAATACAAAAAAAAACAAAAAGAGGTACAGACTAATCTATATGCATGCATGCATGCATGCATGCACAGTAGCGATAAGAGCCCCACCTACACGATAATATTTGCATGTCAGCAAAAGTAAATTCCCTCAAGTCCTGCATTAAAGTGCCGGCGCACAAGGACACACGCACTCGCTGCACGTACACCTGACAAATAAGAGTTAACTCACTCGGTTTCTTCGAAGAGGGAGCTCCAGATAAATCTTGAGGGCTCTGATGCGACTTCGGTTTCGGTTTCGCTTTCGGCAGGTCCCGCGTTCGAAACCCATCAAATACAGGGGCAACAGTCCGGCTGCAAAAATTCAACAATAAATATATGCATATATATATGTATTGGAATATGATTACGTAGGAGCCGAACGTGTAAATGTATACGGGTGCTACCCTGAAATCATCCCATATATATATTTATAAACATATGTACATATATATATATATATATATATATATATATATATATATATATAGTATGCATACAACGGAAGATCTACCTAGAATACCATCATACTGTTATACATAGATATGTATGAAGAGCCATATACATATATATATGTATATGTATATATGTATTCGGATCTTGTCTTTTTGTTACTCTCTGTCTCACCTGCTGCTGCCGGACAGTTCCAAATCTCTTTGAAACATCGGCGAAAAGCGGATGCAGGTTGGGGGTAATCCGTTTTTGTTTATTTTATTGTTTCGACTGAATTGCTTGGGTTTAAGCGCATTATTAACTTGCACTGTTGCTGCTTTTTTAAGGAGGTTCTCCATTTCGTCCTCGTCGCTTTCCGAGTGTTCTGTCAGCCGGACTTTCTCGTCTTCAACGGCGGCTTCCTCTTGCGGCTTGTTGTTGCTGTTGTTGCTGGTGCTTGTTTTCTGCGCGTTGTCGCCTGTATTTTCGCCAGTTCTGCTTTCTGCTGTCCCTTTATGGATCGGTTTCTGCTCCGTTTCCTTAGGTTGCGCAAGCCGCAGCATTTGAATTTTCTGGCGGCGAGAGGCGTTCTCTCTGCACTTCGCTACGAGCTGCGCTGGGGTCGTTTGCGCCTTTACTGCCGCCTCTTCTGCTGATACTTTCTGCTCTTCTGTCAGTGCGAGAGTAGACCAACGCACTATATCCTCAGCCCCAATTTCTGCTTCATTTTCTTCTTCATCGCTGCCGGAAGTGCCGTCTGAATCGTCGTCTTCAGACAGCCAGTCATCTAAGTCGAGTGCCTGCGAATAAGAAGGGAAAAGGTGAAATAAACAAAAGAAGAGACTTAAACCGATATATGTAAATGCAATATAACACATGCAAAAAACGAACTCAGAAAAATGATACGTGAGTTCACGGACGCACCGCAAATGCGCCGTCGCCGAAAAGTTTTCTGCGTTTTGCAATTCGCCTTCTTCTTTCTTCCAGTTCAATTTCCAGCAATTCCTGTTCAGTTAATTCTTGTACTCCTTTCTCGCCTCCGCGGCGGTATCCTGGGAAAGGACGACGAAAAGAACGAAAAAGTTAAAGCAAATGGCAGTTAAGACGAGGCAAATAAGCGGCAGTGGCTGTTTATCACGAGGGTTCCTTGCAAATACCCAAGCAAGCAAAGATAAACAGGAAAGAGAAGAATAAAAACATTTCGCGGAGTATTTTATGGTTTATTTACTTCCGATTAGGCGTTCATAAACTTCTTCTTCTCTCTCGCCTAGGTCTCGTTGCAACTTCATATTCATCGCCTCGCGATCTTCGTTTCTTTCCTCTTCCTCTGCATCTTCAGGCTGTGCTATTAAATCCTCAAGAAACTCTCCTTCACTGAGTTGAAAAATAAACAACAAAAACAGGAAAAACAAAAAGAAACGGACACCAGGAAGTGGAAAAGAACGCAGAATTAGGAGCGCACTGCCACTGTGTAGAAAACAAATGGCAAAAATAAGAAGAAACAAACAACAAAGATACAAAGAGACAAACAAATTAAGTAGAAAGAGACAAACAACAAAAATAAAAGAAACAAATAGCAGAGTTCCACAGAAACAAAGAACGCAAACAAACGAAAGAAGCACCAGAAGCAAAAGAGAAATAAACAAATATTATATTTCCAGTCGCCGGTATTAATTCAAATAAATAAACAAACAAAATAAGGTAAAACTTTGAACACGCATTTACGACAAATGTAGACGACGAAGACCAATACCCAAAACAAGCACTAGATGAATATATATAATTATAGGGCAAAAAAACGAATAATAGATAGATAAAACTATACAATTAAATACTAACCTGTCTTCTTCATCATCTTCTTCATCATCGTCTTCTCTGGCTAGTCGATGTTTTAATTCTTCTAAAGCCGCTGCATAGTCATCGTCGTCTCGTAATTCTTCATCGTTTTCTTCCGCTTCATATTCCACCATTCTCCGAACTATTTCGCGCATTTGTCTGAAGGGCAGATCAAACAAAAACAATAAAAAGAAAAAAATTAAATGCAGCACAATATTTATTTATTTATTATCATTATAATTATTACAATTTACGCAAATACACAGAAATTCAAATTTAGATAAAGCGGCACATATAGTTCATATACATTATATACATTAAACATAAGATATCTATATGAAGAATTTTACATATATAGCATATATACGAGATATATATTATGCACATTACTTACCGCTTCCTTTCTATTCTTCGTTGCTTTCTGTACTCTGCCTCTTTCTGTTTTCTACGGAGTTCTTTCTGTCTTTTTTTCTCCTGCTGTCTCCTCCTTTCCTCATTATCTTCTTCTTCTGCCTCTTGTTCTTCTTTTTCTTCCTCTCCCTTTTCTTCTTCCTCTTCTTCACCTTCAGCATGTGTCGCCTGTGAACTTTTTCGGTCGTCCGCTGCATTTTCTGCATCTGCTGCTGCTGTTGCGTCAGCTGCATCTCCTGCTGCCTGTGGGGACCCCTCTTTCCCCTTTTCGTTTTCATGTCTGTCTTCTGCAGCCTTCACTCCCTCATCGCCGGCTGAAGCTTTTGATAGGGGCAAACCGTCTCCCTGAGATGCAGAAGGATGACGACTAGATTCTGCTGCAGCTGCTGCAGCAGCAGCTGCTGCTGCATCCGCAGCAGCAGGAGCAGCAGCATTTGTCGCGAGTAGATCGTCGTCAATGAGGCGTCTTTTCTTTTTCTTGTGCGCCTTTATGATCTGTTCTTCGTCTTCTTCTTCTTCGTCTTCTCGCACCGTTGGTTTCCTATTCTTAGATATTTCAGCGATTGGCAGCTGCACCTTACCCTTCATTTTATTCAAGGTGAAGCGGAAAAGTTCTGTCAGCTTCATCTGCCGGGGGCCGTTGCAGCTGTAGCTGCGGCCGCCTGCCTCCGATCCCTTCTCTGCTGCTGTTGCTGTCGCTGTTGTTGCTGCTGTTGCTGTTGTTGTTGCTGTTGCTGTTGCTGTTGCTGTTGCTGCATGCGGAGCGACATCTGGGGTGTCTCCGCACCTTTCCGCCTCCTTCGCCTCTTTCGTCTCAGCCGACGATGCAACAGCAGCCGATGCAGCGGACAGCACAGACGGATCTGCAGCTGCAGCAGCTGCTGCATTTGTCTCGGTAACTGCACCAGCAGCAGCAGCAGCGGCTGCAGAAGGAGTCGAAGGAGTGGAGGCGGCTGCTGGCTCTCGTTCAGTGGATGCATCCGTGGGGGTCTCTTTAATTGTTGCATTTTCTTTTTCTTTTTCTGCTTTTGTCTCTCTGGACTTCACATCGTCTTCATGGAGTTGTGCAGATGCTGTGGGTTGGGGTGTATAGGCAGCTGACTCCTGCTGAACTTGCAAGCCCGCCTCTTGCTGCACTTCATCACTTGCGTTTCTTCTTTGTTTTGGAGTTGCTGCAGAGCATTCTGCTCGCCCCTGGCTGGCTGCCTCTTCAGAGGCAGATTCACTAATCTCCACATTCCTCTTTCTTAGTCTGCCTACAGACGCGGGGGTTAAACGTTGCGGTGTACGCGCACCTGGTGTATGTGCTCGCGACTGCAGCGGCTGCTTTCCGGGCTTTATTGGGGTGCAGCAGGCGCTTCCTTGCCGCGAAGCAGCAGCAGCAGCAGAAGCAGCAGCAGAAGCTGCTCGCAGAGGAGTAGAAGGATCGCGGAGTGTCTGTTGAGGTGAGGGTTCGCCGTTGTCTCTTCTGTGGTTTTGCATTGCCACTCGTTTGCGGCTGGAAATCGGAGACGCAAAGTCTCTTTCTTTCTGTTTGTTTGTGCTTCTACTGCTGCTGCTGCTGCTGCTTCCTTTCGTCGCGGGCTCACCTGCTGCTGCTGCTGTTGTTGCTGCTGCTGCTTTTGTTTCTGCTTCAGCTTTTGACGTTTCACTGTTGCATTTTTCCTGCAATTTGCATAGAAGATCGCGGGGTATGAAGTCGCCCTTAGAGGCGAAAATATTCCAGGGGGCGTAACCAAACACCGTCTGCAGCTCCGCCCAGTGAGCGGCTGCCTGAGGCTGAACGAACGGATCTTCTATTCTTTCAACAGCTGCAGCTGTCGGCGCTTCTAAAGAATTTTCCCGCACATTCACCAACCCGTAACGAGAAGCCAGTGCCTGCATACACAAGCAATGCACAATAATGCAAAAGTAATAGTCGTATTTATCTATTTATAAGTAGTATATACTGACTTTTCTGCAGAAATATACATATGTTAATTTGTACAAACATATATATATATATATATATATATGTCTATATATATAGTCTACGACGGTGTGGATATATGAAGAGAAGACACATGAAGGGAAGACACAAAAAACACAGAAAACAGAGACAGATGACAAACAAAGCAATAGAGACAATGTAGGAAATTATCCTTAGCAACGGGAGCAGCAGCAGCAGCAACCAAATAAAAGAAGTGCCTAGAGAAGGAACAGCAGTAACAGCAGCAGCGGCCGCAGCACAGTACCGGCAACAGCGACATCGTCAACAGAAGCAACAACAGGTACATTCATCGTAAGAAACTCCAATTAAGCAGAAGGCTTGCAGCAACACCAGCAGCCGAAGCAGCAGCAGCAGCCCAAGCAACAGCAGCAGCAGTAGCAGCAGCAGTAGCAGCAACAATCCGTACCAACTTATGGGGCTCTGAAAGGAGGTTGTGCATGCGAGGTAGCTGGCGAAGATATTCTTCTACAGCTTCTCGGTGTCTTCCCTCTAATTCCTTTGGAGGCCGTACATACACTACTTCCTGAGCACAAACAAAAGAAAAAAAAGGAAACGCATGCATGCAACACAGAGAATTGCAGAGAGGGAGAAGCCTCCTTTAAAGAGATAAAACAAGAAAAAATATACGGAAGAAATAATTAAAAAAAAACAAAAACTCGCGAAGCAAACAACGGGAAACAAACGTCGACTGTGTGCTGTCTTCATCCCTTACTAAACAATTGGTATATTATAATATGTATATATATATATATATATATA